ATTCATTGCGCAATGTTGTATCTTTGTACGTTGAAACACGTCGCGACGCGGCCTGTTCGAATCTCAAGCCGCTCGGAATAGAAAGACGTACGTCTGAACAGCGAGAGAAATTCGAACAATTTAATCTTGTGACGCACGGTTTTTTGTTTCTATCAGGTAACTAATTGAGTGTAAAAGCTGCGCGATTATGACTTGATCGTTGAACAATATATTACTCGAACGTGGCAAAACGCGGAGTGTTAATTTTAATAAGGAAACATTAATCTAGATATAATAAGTCCCTGTTGTAAATTATGATATATTCAATAAATGTTATGAAATATATATTGCAATTTATATACATTTTATTTTTTCGGATGACTGATCTGCTTTGAAGCAAATTATTTCAAGATAAAGAATAGGATTACAAATTCTCTCGCGTTGAAAGGAAAGATATTGTTTTCTAATACACGCCAGATATTGTGTCAGAGGAATAAATATTCCGCAATGAAATTCTTGAAATATATCCTACGCGAAATTGTATTAACGTTAAAATAGGTATCGTATTAAATTAAATTGATCCCTCTAGCTAGATATCGATACCTATTTTACGAGTTAATTAACGTCGTGGATGCTCTCTTATCTTAGGCAATACTCGCGAAAAACATATTTCCTTTTGGATTGAAGTCGCAGTATCGTGCGGTATCGTGCGAGTCGCGTAATATCTCTATAATAGCCGTTAACGACTTGGAGGGTACAACGCACGATAAATGCGGGTAGAACGCAGTAGCGGGGATTGAAACGTTAAACCGCAAAACGAGCGGCCGCAGCTGCTCCACGCGTCCGTATATATTCGCGTGCGTGCGGGCGTTTGCGCGCAATTCTGTTTAAATAATACGTAAAACACTCGCGGCCGAGATATTCGCTGCCATTAAAATCATCCTACACTTCGCGCGGACCCCGTTGCTCTTCGCATATTACAGCTACGTTTAACGATACATTACATTCTCTTGCCGGCCATTAAGATATGATTATCCTTAAACAATAGCTCTCTCTCTCGTATTCCCCCTAGCCGTTATTAGAGAGGAACGGGGCGGCAACCGAATTAACGAGTGCGTTCTCTCCATACGCATACCACGGGATTTGCCGGGTTCGACAAAAAAAACCCGTGTTTCATCCGTCAAAGACAACGGTATCGTCGATACTGCTGCCAAGCGATCGGTTATTACCATCCATACCGTTAACCACTTAAGGACCCAACAACTATCAAAACACTGACGAGAGAGAAGAAGGAAAAAAAAAGATCGTTTTCGAATGCTCGAAGAGATATGTAAAAACGGGCACTAAAAACGTAACAAGTCTCTCCACAAAAGGAAATTGGGGAATGCGTAATGGGGAAAGGAGACGTTTAAATACGAATTACGCAATATTACCGTCCGAGGTAATATCTTTTTTTTTTATTTTTCTGCTGAACGTAGGTATTACGTAAACGTACGAAACTAACTCGTAAAAAATTGAGATTCTTTAAAGCAAAGAAGAAGTGGAAACGTAAACCGCGATGCTCTCTTGACGAGCTCGTGAATTATGTGTTGCATTATATTTTGGACGAGCAAGTGTAACTTTTTTTAACGGGGTTTCTATTTCATTTAAAATTAAGGAAGAATATATATCTCGTGAAAACGCAATATCCCGGTGACGCGCCGCGAATCGATTGAATTAGAAGCGCGCGGTGTCTGCTAGAATCGTTAATAATCGAATTAAATCCGCTCGCAGCGATCGCTAACTCGATTCCGTCCGTTTTCGCGACGTTAATATCGGCCCGGGAAACAGGAAGACCGAACTTACCCACCGGCTTCATTAAAAGCGCTTCTCGCTTCGCGCGGGATCTCGTTGTCGCGTTTACCTCATTAGTTAGGGATCTCGATAAGAGGAAGTGTGCGCATCTTTTGCCAAGTTCGTTGGCCTTGGCCAACGCTCGTAAGGGAGTATTATCGCGTAACTCGTATATTTTCGGATAGAAACTTGCCAACATTATTTGTTGCTATCTCGATAGTGTGTTGCATCGATAATGTAATTGCTGTAATATATATTTTCTTTACAATTTTTGCGGCATAGTCAGCAGTTGTGGTGCATCTACTCGCGGATTAACGATCCGTAGTTAGATTTCGCTTTTTTTTTTCGCGCGAAAGACGAGGAAATCGTACGAGTCGACGGCGGGACGATACGCTTGAGTTTTGCTAATGATCGCGGTGGCAATTAGTTAAAGCCTCTCCCTGTAAATCTTCCTCTAACTAATTACCTTTTACACCCCTCCCAATCCCCCGATGAGTAGAAGACCACACGGGCTTTCTCGGGGGCGACCTCGCGGTTAAACGCTAATTATTATCCCTGTCCGCGATAAATTAAACTGCCAGAGTCTACCTTCGAATATGGCTGTTGTGCGTATGCACGACGCTTGATGGAGGATGGCACGGACGTGGCACGGTGCGCTACTCTCCCGCTTGTTAGATTTGTGTTAGCCTTCTATTCTGCCGAGTTAATTCGCGTCACACATACACGCACGCACGCGAAATCACGCCCTTACTATCGCGCGTGAGCGGAATGTTCGGACGTCTTTGGAGTTGCCGCCAACTCTTTTATGGCAAGCGAAAAATAGGGACGACTAATGCATGCGAAGTCCTACCTGTTGTTGTAATTTCCCTATGGCTATAATACACTTTCCTTTTTTGGATTGACGTTTGGCATATGCAAATTTTATTTTAGATTTTTACTGCATACCTAATTTATATGATGATGATAAAAGTAACAGGACTCTCGCGCGAAATTATACATTTTCTATGTCTCAATTTATGTATTATACATACGTGTTTGTATATTGTACCTTTGCATATGCGAATTATTTTACTATCTACTTAATATGAAAAAAAAAATAATAATAAAAGTAACAGGACTCCCGAAATTGTAAATTTTATTTCCTAATTTATGTATTATACATACATATATCTACATGTAATTGTAACGCTTTTTATGTTTTATTTCCAATGTATCCTGTAAGTATATCAAAGAGATCTTTAGCTAACTTTCTTCTTTTTTATAATAAATATCTAAAGAGATAAATACTATAGAGAGGATTTTGTATCTACCTTACTGTACCCACTATACATTATTCGTTTTCCGCGTTTTAAACGCCAGTAGTCACGATAAGTGGCGTTCTTGTACGAATCCATTACACCATCGTTAGCGACGCTCATCTAATTAGCTTCGCTATAGCCCGCTAATAAAGATGCACAAAGCAGCGACGGGACTTTCACCGAAGATATATGATATTCGCGTGAATATTCGTGGTGTCCACAAAGTAGTAGCATCCCGGCAGCTAAGACTGCAGAAAGCAACTGCATAAAATATCATCTCGGAAGTCGACGTTAAAATGTCTGTATGTCGATTATCGAAAATTAGCATGCGAGACAACGGGAAACTCTATTTTTCGACACTTTTTTTTTAATACACGGAAAGAACGATTTTGCTGGAAAGTCTAAAAATTTTGCTGGATACAGATCTGAAAATAATTTTGTTAGAAATTCAAATTGATTACTAGAATATCAAAACGTTTTATAAAAATACTCATCATTTTTGCCAACAAAATTATTTTGATATGTCCAATAAAATTATTTTTAGATCTGTATTCAGCAAAATCGTTCTTCTCATGCGCACCTTCAAGAAATTAAAACAATTACGTTTACAGCGAAATAGCACTTTTTTACGGCTAATTGAGCGGACGAAGTCAGTTAAAGGCTTATCCTCCCTCAAGAACAGGGGACGATATTCGGCCGGCGCTTCCGTTACTGCAAATTAAACTGCTCTCGTAGATGATATCGCCTGACCTTTCCGAGAGAATTGTTTCCCTTTGCTATGGGATCGATTCGTTATATAGTACCGGTGAATGCCCTCCGAGGGTACCATTTCAAGAAACGGTCTAGAAATGACTCGAAGGAAGTAGAGGGAAGTAGAAGGTAGGTGCAGTGGAAGGTTGCGCCGTGACCTTCGCTCCTCTGAATCCGCCGGGAGCCCCGTCCCGTCACGTAGCTTCGATACAACGCGTAATGACAGTCCCGAAGAGAGAAAACGCACGCGGCCGCCGATGGCAAATCCGGTCGCGACGCGGCCGAATAGATTGCTCGCCGATCAGCCATCATCATCATCACCGAAACGTGATCGCTACCGGCATTAACTTACGCGTTTTGCCCCCTCTCCAACGTAACAATCAGCACCAATTTGCCGTCCGGATATTGCCCGCGCGTAGTGGATGCACCCTCGCGCATTCTTTCCCTTCCTTTCACCGCGAGCAGTTGTTCGTAATCAATCGAAATGATGTCTTCAGTGACGATCCTGACGATTTCCGATGATATTCTTATATGAGAGATGAAGTTGTTTCGAGGAAATTTTTCGCTTGAATATGATGATTGTAATATCATAAGTCCCGAGACGTAAATTTTTTTTTATAGGGCATACGTAAGAGAGAGAAATAAAGCCACGGTGTTGATCGAAAGAAAGGATATTATTCTACAGCTATAAAAAATTTAATTATATCTTAACTATACGAAAAGAATGCTTTTGATGGAAGATCTAAAAATTTTGCTGGATGCAGATCTGAAAATAATTGTGGTGAAAACACAAAAATGGTGGGCATTTCTGTAAAAGGTTTTGATATTCTAGCAAACAGTTTGAATTTCCAACACAATTATTTTGATGATCCAAAATTGTTTTCAAATCTGCGTTCAGTAAAATTTTTAGACCTAGCAAAATCGTTCTTTTCATGTATATATATAACCTTAGTTATATCTTAGGTGCCCAACCGTAAAAATTTTAATTATATATTTATAGTTTTAATACGTACAAGGCGATATATATAATATTATTATATTATTTAATATTTTTTCATGAAATTGCGTCATTTTTTAAGTCCATGTAGGTATGTAAATTGACGCGTGAATTTATGTTGCATTATTTTTTATCTTTTGCAGATTCTCAGATGGAGCAAGGTTACAGATCGGAGGTTCAAGAACGGGCGCTCGTCGTGTCGCTACAGATGTTCAGCCTGATCTTAGAGCGCGGTGTGTATCTGCTGAAAGCTCAGCTAGATAGCGAGCAGGAACCGAGGCTGGTGGTCGGCGAGGATCTCCAAGTGCTTCTACCGGCTATTAAGGTACTTCTCCCTCCCCTCCCGCCCTTTTCCCCATCAATACGTATCGGTTGAGCGAAGTCTTAATTGCGTTTCGCGACGCGAATCGGCGAGCGTAAGTCAATTTCCGAGTCGAAACGTTGCCTCGATCACGTCCATCGTCTGTACGCTCGCCATTACGAAATAATTAGATCTGGAGCGCAGCGACGGCCAACCTCTCAACCTTTTTGCTAGTCACATCGTGATATTCTCACGTTTTGGGAGTCATTATACAAATACGCGCATATTCATAAAAAAAAAAAAGAAAATAATTTTCATCCCGCACGTTCTTCGCGTTATTTCATTCGCTGCCGCTTCCCACGGGATAATTTATGGTATAGGCCGCTGGTTGATTATCACTGCGGTCCGGACCGCGACTGCATCAATCTGAAAGACGCCGGGACGTTTTCTTCGTCAACTCGGCAGCTCGATCCGATTCCACTTCCTATCGCTGTCGCAGTCACCGCGCGCCGCACTCGAACGCGCTTAATCACCGGAGAATTTATGGAGCGTCGCGAGAGTTTCTCGCACCCACGCATCCGCCGGTGGCCGATATGTCAGATCCAGAATCCGATCCGATCGCGTCGCGACTTATTACGCAACTCAACGCTCGCAATTAATCCACCTATCGCACGTCATTGTATATGCGCGCACGTCTCATCGATTAATGATCGTTCTGCGATCGAAACCTTGAAGTTATCGATTTCTTAACTCGGTATTAAGCCGTACAAAAGATCGATCGTAAAACGATACGGTAATTTCGCGATTTAGCTACACAACGTCGCAGGAATAAGATCAATAGCCAAGAAGGCGGATGCTTAAAATGAAGTGCTTAAATGTCAGTCTTATGCTAAAAGAGTACGTAGTACAGTCTTGCCGGATCACTGATTGTTGCTGAGTAACTATCGATTTTACGGCATTAAATCGTCGTTAAATAAATATTTTGCTAATATACGTGCCGTGAAATTAGCGCGCGTCTGCACAGTCACTACGTATTTCTCGGCTAACGAGAAAAAGATGTGAAGATGTAAATAAAAAAAAATAAAAAAAAAAAGAAACAATGATTGCTATCGGAATGCGAGCTGATACAAGGAATAATAGCTGGACTCGCGCTTACGACTGAGGTGAGACCATTAATATTGCCGATAAAGTAGACGCGATACAAGGCCGCTGGAATATGTTTCACTTTATGAGGATGGATGGACGTGCTTGATGAAAAAAGCGGGAGTGTCTATAAATAGCGAGATATACTTTCGCGCGTTCTCCGACAGTTAAAAATTTGATAAGACTGTAAATAAAAATCGGCGGAAATAAAAATCTTGGAAGGAGCATCTTCCTCAAATAGGTCGCCGTTATATTAAGGAAGAGAAAATAATCCGAGAATGTCCTCGACTCGAAATAGTTGAAACTTTTGCTCGGCTCCTCTTACATAACTACTATTTAAATGTTTTTATTAATTTTAGTAATCTTTCGCGATGTTATTCTCTTCGGCGCGTAATCTTTTTATTATCAAGAAATAATTGTTTAAAAATACGCTTGCATTTTCTTTTAACGTCAACTTTTCATTACTTCTCTTTGAGTGTAGGTTATAAATTGAAACATTTCGAAAAGTTAATTCTTATTAAAAATGTTGTCATTAAAAGGATTGCCTGCCTAGCAGCATCGACATTTCGACGGACGTTAATCCCTTTTACACATGGTGATTTGAAATTTAACGGACTATAAATTACGACGTTTACGTTTGTTTCTGCAGATCTGGTGCGACTGGATGCTCTGCCACAGCACCATTTGGAATCCTCCGCCGTCTTGCACGGATTACAGAGTCGGGTAAGTTTCTTAATCTTAAACTTAATAAAGGAAATGAGATTTGCCCGTACGCGGCCTTTAGTCACCGTATACAGTGCTCGGCTTGGCGTATCTCTAATCTCTTTATATTGTTTCGCAACATAAATTTCGTTTGGCTTATGCACTGGCCCCTGTCTTGGATTAATTACAACTTTGTTGTGGCGCATGTTAACCGCGCGCGTCGCGAAGTCATACCTTCGGGATTAAAGTTAGACGCCAGCACGTGAAAACGAATGTCGCGTGTAGGATTGTATAGCGTGCAGCAGAAATATTCGATATATCTCGAAGTTGCCGATTCTGCGGTTTTGTGGTTTGTGTGGTTCGAATTGGCCCGCTTGGCTTGCAGCGAGTGCAACGTTTACAGAGGAATTTGCGCTGTATAAAAATTTGCATTTATTGAGGCCAGCGTGCAATGCCGGAGATGATGAATCACGAGAGACTCAAGAGAGGGCTTTAAGAATCCGTTTATTAATAATTGTCACTTGGAATAATTTACACGTATCCTTGTTAGCTATTTGAGCTGAATAATTATTTGCTCGATAATTAAGGTACTTTATTAAACGATAATTAACGAAAAAGATATGATATAATACACACAATAATTCGAACAATTATGTAAATTAAATATAATTTTTTAGCTTTAAATAGATAATTTTAATTTTTTTTTATAGAATATTCAAATTTAAGAATGTATATAATGTGACTAAAAGAATGTTGTACTTAATGATAGCTTTGCAATTAAGCGACTTTGTCGTCCCTATCTTACAGCATTCGGTAAACACTACAGATTCTGAAATCAATCATTTTCGAATACGCCTCGAAGTCTTTCTACGATTTGGTAGATTATTACGAAAGACGATATTAATTTGAAAATAATTGTTATCCGAAACGTCTTTAGCCCCGGGATCGTAGCTGTCGCGCAACGAACGAAGTACAAAACATTTAGCATGTAACGCGGTCGTGCTCACCGACGTCTGGCCTTGGGATAATTTCGATTCTGCGAGCGAGAGAGATCATTAGCGGTGCGAAGATGCTACCGATCATGTCGGGGTCTAATCATATTTGACTAGCGAGATAAATTATAACCAGACTCATCTGAGGACGCCTGAAGCACTCTGACGCTCAAGAATCTTTCACGACTTTTTTTTCGTACGTCTGCGCGATATCTTCGAATTTAAGCTGACGCTACTCTGTTTTTAACGAAGTGACGTGCAAAATCGGCGGGACGGTGCGACAAATCGACAACAAGAGGGTATTAAATACTTCTATACATTTCATTCGATCGGCTGTGCCAGCTTAATAGACGTGAGCGTGTTCCTAGCGAGAGCCGATATCTCACACGAGGGAGGATGGGAGGGAGGGGGAGAGGTGATGGAAGTGAGCGTGGCGTAGGTCACGGTCGACCGCTGCATCGCGCATCGTATCGAGGCTCGATCTCTCTCGCGAGACGCGCGCGCCGTGTGTGCACAGGTTCCCGCGGCACTATTTCTACCACGCTTCTTTCGCATTCGTCGCGAATGCATAAGTTATATACTGTCCCGCTTTAATTATTACCGCATCGGCTCTAATTTCAACGAGGGAAGAGCGCCGGTTTTTCGCGCAACCCTCCCCCTCCCCCCCTCCCTCCCGTGGACGCGCGCGAAACACGATTGGTTCACATTGCGCTTTCGTCGAAACGGATTAATTCTCCTCCGAAGCCGCCGAAGGAAAGAGAGATAGAGACGGAGATTTGTAGGGTGGCTTTCGCCAACTCCGCGCGCGCCGCCATTCGGCCACGGGCATTCGTCGCAGCTGCGCGTAGCGACTATTAATTCAGGTTGACACTTGAGGTGTTTTGAATTATGGCTGTTGTATCGGACTATTAATTTCCCCGCGCGGTGATGCACTCGGCGGATCGCACGCGGTGTGTGAGAAACTCGCGAGTAAAGACGTCGCGACACCCGCGGCGGCCGGACGACGTTCCCGTGGCGCGACACGTGTTCGTGATTGTAATGTCCTCCCGCTCCGTTCCTAATTTATAATTCTTGCACCGCTGCCGCAATTTGATTGACGAATTTTCCGAAAAAGAGGGAAAGAAACGGATCAGCGTGTCGTCACGCAGGTCACTGGCGCAAGATACTAAAGTGTCACGTTAATTTATAGAACTTCCTAAAATATATTGACGGTATTTAGGAAGTTCTATAAATTATCAGTAGAGAGCTAATTAAGAGATAATCGTAAATCGCTGCATCTATGCTGTTTTCTTCTGAAGACAGACATGGAATTTTTGTTTATGCTTTAATGCTGGAATATGTGCAATATTAAAAAGTATCAATGAAAAGAAATGTTATCTATTAGAACGAGTAATTAACATGTTTAATGTGTAATACAATTTCTAATTAAAAAGTCTTAAAAAAAAATTAAATAGTTAAAGTGAATAAGTAATAAAAAGGTGTTTTAAGAAAAAAATTAATATTATGGATTTTAACATGTTAAACATATTGAAATGACGCTTTTGAGAATAGCATTTTACGATTTGTTAATTCAATTTTATCTGATGATTTTCTACCTGCTGAACTTATGGGAATAATGGATTTTTATTTGAGCTTTACCTTTTCGCACGCGCGCGCGAATCTCGTTGGGTCCCCGAATTCTGGCGTGCCCCGTGCTGAGTCACGCCGCTAAATAAGGGACCTTAGAGCACGAGGAAATCCCGATGCCCTGCGATGCTCGAGAGCCCCGCGCGGACCAGCATTTCATAAAGGGGGCCGGGTCTCTCGGCGCGTCTCTCGAATTGATCATACGCAAACGTGAGCGAATACTTTTGGTGCGCGCTTCGTGCGCGCTCGCAGAGAAGATGAGAGAAGCGAAAGAAAGAGAGAGTAGTGCGCCGTTCATCTTATCGACGCACGGCGCGTCGTCGCTTCTCGGCGCGAGTTTCGCTAATGAGATAAAATAAAAGAAGAATAAGAAGCACACAGTAAAAAAGACAGAGATAGAGATAGAAGAGAGAGAGGGGGGGGAGGGGGGGGGATAAGAGCGCGAGAGTCACGCTTGTCCGACTGATGCAATCTACTGTCCATTAAATGAGCCTCAAGGCTCCCTCTTCTCTCTTCCTCTCTTTCTTGCTCTCTGTCTCTCTCTTTCTCTCTCGCGACGTCGGTCTCGAGAAACACGGGATTTTTTTTTGTGTAACCAACAGCTACTATCTGGCTGGAATAGGTTAATCATTGTTGCTCGTTAGCGATTAACAATTACGTGAGTCAAGCGTTTCCTTGGCAAGGACGCCGCGCGCAGCGCGGGATGCGCGATCGCCGATTCTCTCTCGATCTTGATCGTCGTTGCACTTGGAGCGGCGCGCAACGATTCGACGCGGACGCGGACGCGGATTTCGCGACGGCGCGGCGAGAATTCCATGGCAGACCGCGATTAACCGATGACCTTTAACGACATCGGTCGATTAATCGTGCCGGAAACCCCCTTGCACTTTTGCTCTGTCGCACGAAATTAAGCGATCGGTGAAATTCCACCTCGCGATTCTCACGTGTTCGTCTTTGGCGCGTCGTCATCGCGGTCGTGCGTGTGTCATTAAGATTCCGTATGTGCACGTTCGCGCGGCGTTTACACGCGAAAAATTTACGGTCAGGTACGTTCTTTTGTAATTCGAGGCGAGGGCAATAAGTAATGTCGCTTTACTCGGCGAAGAAGCATTAATACACAGAATATAACCGTTATTTCCGGTATTACAATTCTTTTAAATGCTCTTGTTTTGTACAGTGTGAATTTGCGCGATCTTAGAGCCCCGCTATGCGCAACGAAAGAATTAATTGAACGAGCGACTTTGGCTTTACAGTAATACGGAAGTGGCAAATGGAAACGTATGCCCTGCCGCGGGTAGATCATTAATAACGCTGGTGGAACGAGCCGCCGCCGGTCATACGAAGTACATTAAATGTATAAATCCGTGATCTATTATTATTATCGTCCACCGCGCGCATTACGCGCGGGTCCCCCTGCCGCAATAATTTCCAATATGTAATTCTCGACACTGATAATGAATAGTCGCGCGGGGATATATCATATTCGTGCGCCGGAGACCCGCGTCTCCTTTTCACTCCACCTTTTCTCCCGCGCGCGCCACAAATATTCGGGATATAAATTTTATCAGCCGGTCGTTCTTTTAATCGCGCCCCATTCGCGTATCTTCGAATATATGTATCTCACCGTAAATACGCGAAATCGCGCCACGTCCCACGGTCACGCGAAGGCATGCGAAAATTCAACGTGCGTTTCGTGCGGCGACCACGCGGAAGAGCCACGCGAATCTCCGAGAGTATCTCCCGATGCATTTTCGTGCGGCGCATCGAAATCTATACACTGTATTTTTTTTCGGCAAATGGAATTTCATCGGGAGCCTCGGTCACGTCGAACGCGCGGTAATTGTACCCTTGTGACAAGAATTCGTCGCGTGACGAATGATCCAGAACCCAAAAATATTTATCTCGTGTCAAGGTACACGCCAGGTAGAGCCGGTAGCGAAGAAAATCAAGTAGCAATTTACCCGATTATTTCTTTTTTTCATAAGCAAATGTTTAAGCAAGTGTTGTTTGCACAGCCGGTAGCCTCACGAATTCTCGGGCATTTATGCCGTCACTCGTACAAAAACAATAATGAGGAATCTGAAACCCGTAGAAAATTAGTCCCGAATATTATCTCTCGAGTAAAAAGTTCGTCGGCCCCCTCGACGCCAATGTGACGTCAGGCGCAATGTTAGAAAGTAAAAAAAAAAAAAATAATTTGGGGAATTAAAGATCATTATATCGTTTCAGTGTGGCGCACATCATAAATCACTGCTCGATAATTTAATCTTCGAAGCGAGCTAATCGTTCAGAAGGAATTCAACGTTAAACCATATTATTATCGAATTTTTTCCTCGTTCTTACTTTTGAATTATGTATTAGCAGAATGATGGAATTCATCCAAGTCTTGTTAAATCGCGATAGACTTTTATCGTGATGTGGACCTGTGATTCCTTCGGATTTCAACTACTTTTAATGAATATCATCACGAAGACGAGGCTTAACTCGATCTTTTCGTTTGTACAGACCACCGGGAGATGCGTGGAGCAGATTAGCGACAATGGTGAATCTTCTAGAGAAATTAAATTACACCAGGACGACTCTGATTCAAGGCAAAGATACGGAGGATCGCGAAGAAGGTAAGGAAATATTTCGAACTGTTTTCTGCGGAATTTTTGCGCACGACATCGCCGATTGTTTTATCTAAAGAGAAACGTGTTAGAATGAATTAAAAAGTCGCCAGAATCATCATTTATACGCCACATAAAGATTGACGAAAATGGCAGTAATAATTCAATTGTCTTCACATTCTGGTAGTAGAGTTGTTGAAGTTGTACGAAATGTATATTTGATCCAGAAACTAATATATCGAAACATCTGAAAATAGTAACATTATTTGATTTACAAGATTGGAAAAATCAGTTCATTATCACTGTTGGGAAAATTGAAACTTGAATAATTCGAATAAAGATAATTAAAAATGTTAACAAATTTCCTAGCATTATTAGATATAAGAACCATTATTTTTCTAAAGATTTAATTTTTCGATATCTCACTTGACAAAGACATTCCCAAACAGAAAATAAAAATAAAAGTTCTCTAAAAAAGATTTTTATGTTAATTTAATCTTAATATTTTACTGTCTAGAATATCTAAAATATTTTATTTTTAGCGGGAAACTTAAATACATACATCTCGTCTCACCCCGGTAAATTATTAGTAACTAGTACTAATAAAATCCATTACGTATTACTGTATTTCGATGACGACGTTCATTTTTCGATGTTCACGCTGATTAAGCGCGTGTGAACAGCGAGAGAAATGGCAACCGGTCGAAACGCTCGATAGCGATGCGAGCGATTCTCGCGAGCTGACCTGGACCAGACTTAATCGAAAAAGTCGCGTTCCTCGAAGTCGGCGAAGTCGGTGCCCGGTCTGTTGACCCGTAGATAGCTGGCGCGACGGTTGCGTAACGGTGAATACGTTCGACATGACCACTGCAATGCCATTCTCTTGCAGCCGCATTTACTAGCGTATGGCCAATGGTCTTTCAGCGTGCGTGCGAGCCACATCGCCACTATATGCATGCCGCGTGCATGTTATGAATACACAAATTGCATTGCCCCGAAGCCCATTCACGTGCAGACCTCGCCACCGAAGATGACCTGACTCTCTCGCAGATTTTTCGGCGACCACGTCCGCACGAATTTAGCACGTATCGTTTACGATACGTCCAGCCGGAGCGGCGTTAAGTTTTTCAAGCATAAAAATTATGATAATTTATCATTCTAAACTGAACATCCTAGAGATGAACTCTTTAAAATAGCACAGCTAAAATCTTTTTTTTTAGGGGGGGGGGGAGGGAGCTAATTTTAGTTTGAAAAGAATATTACTCGAGAATTAATGGTTCTCAAATATTTAAAGATGATAGCGCCACATTATCTATCGCGAAAATGTTGAGGGTTAGATTCTTATATTCTTCGATACTAAAAAACATTTCATTCTGTCGACTTTGCAACGAATTTACGGTCGATTGTTCGCTATGTAGCAGTTGTCAACGATCATTGGCAGACCGGAACTTCAAGATCGGTTGCGAAATGCGTGCGCTCCTACGCGAGCAGAGCACGGCGAATTTTTCTATTTTTGACAGACACTAGACGTGATCGCGAGTTCGGTCTCGAACTGGGTCTTCGAACGGGTCCGGTCGGCTGGAAACGAGCGTTCCAGTTTCGCGGCGCGTCCTTGCTCGCGGTACACTTACCTCTAAACCGAGTACGTATGTGCGGACGTCAATACGCATTGCTCATAGTGAATATCATTACGCACGTATCGGTGAGAGGTATGGCTGATCACATGGCTGACTAGAATTAATAAGTTTATCAAAGCCATAATCCGATCTCAACCTTTCGTTAACGCCACTGATGTATGCCACCCCGAAATCATTAACGATTAATCGAATTTGTTTGTTATTAACTGTTTTAATTTAAACAATATTTCTGGCTTATTTGCATTTAAAACCGGATTCTAGAAGTAAACGAGTGCGAATGAACACAAATGAATAAACTTATTTCGATGAATGCGAACGGCGCCGATGGTATCCGCAACGCGACAGTAAGTTCGCACTGAAGGAAATTGTTCATTTGCTTTTTTTTGCACGCGCGTTTATATTTACTTAATATATAGCGAATTTGGCTGGACACACCAGTGTGCACTAGTACATTAAAGTCATGACAAATTGACATAAAGATGTGTGTGTTAAACCGCGCAAGAATAAACTTATTTCGATGAGTGCGAATGGCGCCGATAGTATCCGCAACGCGACAGTAAGTTTGCACTGAAGGAAATTGTTTATTCGCTTTTTTTTGCACGCGCGTTATATTTGCTTAATATATAACGAATTTGGTTGGACACACAGTGTGCACTAGTACATTAAAGTCATGACAAATTGGCATAAAGATGTGTGTGTTAAACCGTGCAATTCGTAACATACACGGAGAGAATTTTATTTTAAAATTTACGCTGAAAATCATGTTAATCGTATAATTAATATTCGAAGAATTTTATGTAATTTTCACTATTTTTTTAAATATATACTATAACAATTTTATTGTAGTGCACAATAAAAAAACAGAAATCACATAAAATTTGTCAAAATACTATGCGCGTCCCACGATTAACATGATTTTCAGGGTAAATTTTAAAAGAAAATTCTCTCCGTATACTTTATTGTGCTGTTTGATAAAATATATTATAATTGAAATATTTGCATTTTACTCTTACACTCAGATTATATCACCGTACAACACTTTACACGCGCCAACGACTGTAATATGCACCAGCGCGCACTAGTGCGTCCAACCGAATTCTCTAATAAATTTTTTAGAATATAGATGCAAATTTTCTTTATACGAAAAAATATCCAACAATTACAATTATACAATTTTATTATGAAATGCAATTTTATTGTTGATGATTATCTGCGTTTGTATACTGCATTGTATAATAAAATCTTAATGCCGGACGTGAAAGGCAGCGGATTCGTCAGAATGCAATCACGCACTTTATCAAATTCTAAATCGCGGTGCATAAACGTCTGAGCTCCTTTCGCGATACGCGATACGGATCTTTATGCGTCGGTCGCGTAAATTCAGGGTCTATTCGTATGCTTCCGAAAGAGAATCTGATTTGGCACGAACGTGAAACTTTGTACAAGGTGCTTCGATCCTCGTGCATGAATGATGTATACCGGATTTCTACGTTTTATTTCAGACTTGGAGCTCGTAAAACTACCGGAAGATATCACGCTGGCTGGATTCACTCCTCTCATGTTGAATCCTCAGGATCCTTGCTACGTGGAGAAAACGGAAGACATGGTAATTTACGTTGCGTTACGTCTTCGGTAATTTCACTGATATACGTATCTATGAGACATGTGCTTTTCATTGTTGATTTTATCGTTGCTTATTGTTTTAAGCTCGTTGAACAAACTTCAAACGAGCTTAAAACAGAGTCACCTGTCTCGAGATATTTCAAAGTGCCGGAAGGAGTTTTAAGTATACCAGTGGTTGTACCGGAATATTCGCCCGCGGTCGCACGACTTCCACGGGTTACATGGGTAAACTCGCGACGCGTTTTCAGGAAGTGGCTCAGATGTGCCTCAGGATAAGCAAGATCCTCTTCTTCGGTCAAGTGTTCTTGTGCGGTTTGGAGACACCGGTGCTGAAATTGCAGAAAAGCGAGACCGGCGTCAGCGAATATGTTTCCGTGGTCGAGGCTTCGAGCACGAGTTCGCCGAGTTCGCCGCCGACACAGGTACTGTCGTAAATCTAGTCCCTGCTCCCCCTCTTTCTAAAGAAAACGCATTCAGCGCGCTTGGAGCTCCACAAATCCGATTTTCTGAAAGCAGCAAAAAAAAACGACTGTAGTCTATTTTAAAATTATCTTTAATTAATCTCACATATAACTATAAAAATGAGTATCGCACAAAATATCGCAAAGTTTTTAAAATCATGTAAAGAACAATTACGAAATGTTAAAGCAAAAGAACGGGACTTTCCCTTTTCGGAATTTTCAATTCGTTAAATCCGATCGCATGGTTCATTATTCGAAATTAATTCACTTTCAGAGCGACTCCGAACTCCTGGTAGAGAGTTACAGCGAGGGGGAGGAGGAGTCGATTTCTACGTTGAGAAGATTACCCTCGTGCGGCAGCATGACCGACGATACGACGGCTCCCGTGGCGGCTGTCGAGATAAGGTCGCTGATCGAGAGGAAGGAGGAACTGGAGAGGCGGCAGCGGAAACAAGATCGACATCGACAGCGAGTACAGGTGAGTGCGAAACACCCTATAGCGATACCCTGGCGCGTGTACGCAACCGCGCGGAGATGATCTATCGATTTGTCATCGCGATAAGGCGTTATACTTATTACAACGTTGCTACGTTGTAATGCTCGATTAAAATTACGTATTAACCATTATTGTGCAACGACGTCGATAAATAAAGGGTTAAAGTTTGCAACAGTGTTGCCGCCATCGTCTCAGTACAGAGTTATTTGATTCTCTCTTGTCTGATTTTATTGCAGGCATAGACAATACGTGTCCAAAATTATTTCTGTGTTAATGCGTCGGATAACAAATGCAAGTTTTTTTTCACAATAAAGTATTTAAAGTCCGTTCTTATTTCAAGACTATCTTAAGTAACATCTTAAGATACTAATACACCCCTGTGATTATGACGTCTTAAGATTGTCTTAAATGTGAGAACCGACTATAAATACCGGCCAAAATAGACCATGTCTCGCTATTTTTTAAACGGTATAAATTTACTTTTCAACAACAATATGAATTTTAATGAATTTTAGTAATGAAATTGTTGGTTGGTCGATTCCAAATCGTATAAATATTTTTGTGATTTCACTCACATTCCTTTTTCAGCTATCTTAAATTTTAATAAAACAACATTTACACATGAATATTAGAAAATTTCTATTTTTCTTTATTTTATAATACGTTATGTGTTCTCTAAGATTTTTAGCCAATTTGTCAAATGAAAGATTGAGTAATTGCATCTGTAGATCAATGTGAATTTTATTTAAAATAAATGCAAATGAATTTGTGGCGGTTCGATCGTTCGAAGACGATGCACGCTATGAATGGCGCTCGAACGAGCCCGAGATCGATGAGGAATCTCGCCGCTTCCAAATTTAGCTCGCGCCGTGCGCAGTCTTCCACCGATAGAGACGTCCTCCGCGAATGTCGCCGCCGAATGATTGTCTAACCGCCGCGATACCGGTCTAACCGCCGCCTATATCATTTCCGGAGGCTTCCCGCCCTCCTTCGACCTGTCTAGAGATGCGCACGAGACGAGATAAATCTCGATCTCGTCTCGATCTCGTCTCGAAATCGAGACGAGATTCGAGATCGGGATTACTTATAATATTCGAGATCAATATCGAGATTTACCACATCAAGATCAAGATTATTGAAAATTCTCGTCAAGATCTCATT